TCTTTCGTCTCGATCATCAGCATTTGGAGCTTATTATGACAAGTTCTGAGGATATCTAATCTCTGCCTCTGCTTGTGATAATGATCATTATTATTATTATCCTCGTCAGCAACGTGATGCCATGGTTTACAGACAGCACTAAAAAGTTGCTGGAAAAATGGTTTGTGAAACCATGAGTTTTGGCCAACTTTGAGCCAGGTGGAAATGCATTCTTTGTCGGGTGGTGATTCATTTCGTATATGAAAAATGGCTGGTAGCTCGAAATACGTGGCTCGATTTTGGCTCGAACGGCAAAACGACGTCGTTTTGCCATTCTTTTTTTCTTTTTTTTTTTTTCTTCTTTTTCTTCGTTTTCTTTCTCTTCCTTTTGTTTATTTATTTTCTTCTTCTTCGTTGAACACATGCGAGAGAGAGCAGAGTAGAGGTGAGAGAGAAACAGAGCTCGTCGAACACAGTTCGTCGACGTCGTTGAACACAGCTCGTCGGCGTCGCAGCTCGTCGCTCAGCCCTGCCTCCGCCCGCCGCCGCCTCCGCCTCCACCTCCGATTTTGATGGCCCCCTCCAGTTCAGTTCTTCTCCTTCTTCTCTTCTTTTTCTTCTTCCTTCTTCTTCTTCTCTTCTTCCTCTTCTCCGAATTCGGGCCAAATTCGAGCTACGAATCAGAGCCGTTCGTATATATGGTTGTTCAAACCATTTTTCAAGTGACTGCGAAATTGACTCCGAAGAAGGCGTCAGCAACATGGTAGTTGAACGAATTCAAAATTGAATTCAGTCTCTGGAACTCTGAAGATTTCAAATAGAAATTCCAATTCATTTTTTATTTGGTTTCTCTCTTCTTTTTGAGAATTCCATATGGAGGTTTGATCTGGTATTGGCAAAATTCTAGTAACTTTATCACCAAATTTTGTACAGTACACTGTGTTTCTCACCGTGTTTCCAATGGCTTTGAGAAGTTAGACGGCCGAAATTCGAACCATCATGATTGTTCGAATCACCATCTCAGAGACTATAAATACCCCACTCATCCTAAATTGTAGGATATAGAAATCCGTATCGAATTACAATCTAAACTTGAGTCAAATTCGCGTCCAACTTTCCCAATTTGTTGTTCTGTTTCCTTCATCATCATTTAGTTTTCTGCATTAGAGAGTCTTTGAGTATTGGGGAGAGTACACCACAAGTTTGGTTCGCCATATCCGGGATTGTTGTGCTGCCATCTTAGATTCTAGTCATTGTATCCTGGGAGGTTGGCACCAATAACTTGAGGCGAACTAAACCTTAACAAATTATGTCCAACACAAGTCTCGACTAATTTCGGTATTGTATTGTTTTGTGTCACAATTTCTAGTTTATTTTTCCAGTATAATCTCCCTGCATATTTGTTTGAAGTATCATTGTGGTTTATTGCTCTGTTTTCTTTCTGAAATAATTTTAATATTTTCTTTCTCCTTTCTACTCGGTTTTGGTTGTAAATAAAATCTACAATCACTGATACATACTTGTGTCCCCTTTGTAAATGAATTAAATTACATCATTTGTTATAAAACTTCCCAACAACCTTAAGGTTTAAACCATTTGGTTTTGTTTGGATTTTTATTATTATTATTTTTTTCCGGAAGAAAAAAATCTTGTTTCATTTGAACAGAAATTTGTAAATATATAAAATCTTTTGGTTTAATTTATTTGATTTGAGAAAGTGAAAGACATTGATCTTATAAGAACAATGAAACAAAAATGAAAAGAAATGGTGAAGATTTGAGGTAGATAAGCTAGAGAGGGAAATGTAAATTTGCTCTGATTTCATTCTGCTAGTAGGAACAAGATGATATAGGTTTTATCATGTGTGGATGAGAGTTGTTACAACCTAGTATTTTATCCTGTGTGGGTGTGGTTTTGTTACAACCTAGTGAATTATTCAATATGGTTGAGTCTAAAATTGGTTATTACATCCTAATTGATTTGAGACAATCGGATAGTTAATTTTTTATCAGAAATTATATTTTTGTTTATATACTGGAATTGATTAGATTTACTATTCACGGAGATAAATTGTTGTGTTGAGATTTTTTGTTACTAACATTGATTTTGCAGATTTTGATTCCTGCATAAAAATTTGTATAACTGATTGTTGAGATTTTAGTTTGTGAAATTTGATTGTAGTAGATTTCTTTGCGACTGAGTTGTAGCAGATTATTTTAATTTTTTTTTTCAGGTTTTACAAAATTTATTTTCTTTTGATGGGAGTATATTTTAATATACTAGAATAAATTTTTATGCAAGAAAATAAATTAGTGATTGAGGTTTTTCATTATTTGCAAAATGTGCTATTATATTATGTTATAATTTTTTAAAGGGTTCTGTTTAAGTGTGCAACCCCCTTAAGGTTGCACACTATATACAACTCAATTGTTAGCCGTTAGATTACAATAATTGATTAAGACCATTGAATTGTTTAATCGTGAAAAAGTTGAAATCGGGGCAACCGGTTAATGCTTGTATTTGCATGATTGTATCCCACTCACTCTCTATATTTCGTCTCTATCTCTCTCTGTGTAAGGTTGAGTTAGTGTAACCCTTGATTTCCATTAACAGCGAGAAGCCTCTGCTGGATTGGTTCCATTGACGAAGCTCTATAGGGAACAGTATAATGGGCGATTTCCAACAACAACGGAACTGCAAGGCTGTGTTGGTTTCATTGCTGAAGTGAAGCCCTTCTCTCCAACTAGATATAAGGTATGGAGTTGTCTCCCTCTCTCTGTATCCCTCTCTGTCTCTCTGGTCTCTTCACTTCAGCTATTTTCCCTCAACTAAACCCCCATCCTAACTTCAACCACTCTATGCTTCGCTCAAACGGAAACCCCTCCATTGGCAACTAACCTTTCTCTTTCTCAAGTGAGTGTTTGTGTTTGCACAAACAACTAAACCGTGTGAAAATGTCATGTTTGTGTTTGCGTTAGCATTTTTCGGTCATCAAGTAATTGTTTGTACTAATGTCATGTGCAGTATGGCCCCAGCGGAAGTTAAAAGGGAATGTGATGATTATGACATTCCAAATGAAGTAGATGACATTCGTTTGATGAATGAAAGTCGGGCGAAACCTTATCGTGGTTGCGAAGCTGGTCCAAGCAATGAAGAAGCAACCAACATGAACGTTGAAGATGGCAGAGCCGATGTGAAAAAAGAAATGGTTGACGATGCTCATCGCAATGACATGGTTGGTGATGTTGAACGTGCTATTCTGGAACAGAAATTTGATTCGGTCGAAGATGGAGAAGATTTCTACAATGCGTATGCTAAAGCCAAGGGATTTAGTATACGAAAATCCAGATTTAACACAAATAAAGAGGGAAAGGTCGTTAGTAGGCTGTGGTTGTGTTCAAGGAAAGGTCAGAGATTACCAATATACTTGGACCGTGTTGCTGAGAAGAGTAGAGCTCCCAAGGCACTAACAAGAGTAGGTTGCAAAGCCCAATTTCGCATACGGTACGATGCGGATGCTGGTGAAGGGGGAAAGTATGTTGTGACTCACTTCGTCGCAGACCACAACCATGAATTGGCGGAACAACACTGTGTGATGTATCTGAGGTCACATCGCAGTTTAAACAGCGGTGACAATAGCGGCCACACCCGACAGGGTCCGGCCGAATAATGAAAGCTTTTGCGGTCTGGTGAGGCCCATCGGCCGTAGTATATCTGAGAACAACCGGAGATGCACCA